AGGCAGTCCATGCCTGAAGGACAGCCAGTCTCCACACAAGTTGAAGGTTTCTTCACTAATTCAGGTACAAGAAGTAAAAAGGAAACACAAGCAAGTTAGAACATACGGTTTGTATATCTACTGTATCTTCGTTTCAACAATATGTGTTTGTGTTGTTTTATTTTTTTCATAAATTTCTCTAATAATTAATGTTGATGTTTTTCATTTTTTCAATTATGCAACTTTCACAAGTGTGAAACAGTTATTTCAGAATAAATGTTTATCTGTGCACATTACAAGTAAGTTTTGCACTTTACATTGAAAAGAAAAAATAAAATAAAATAATTTTGTCGGACGAGATGCATCTGGTTTATAGATGGTCCTGCTTCTATGTTATGTTGATCTAGGTCTCAATTTTTTTTCTCCTAAAACTCTCAGCTATAAAAACGGAGCACCACCTAGTGGGCTAATGTAAAATTGAAAGTATAGGGATAGAAGTAAATATAAAAGACAAAACTGAGAAGAATGTATTATTTTATGATAAAATAAATATAAGATTCAAATTTGTGTTAATAGTGTATTGTATTCGGGAGGTGGAAGGAATACTTCTCTGATCTTCTCAGTCCCACCAGCACATCTTTCATGGAGGATGCTGAGTCAGGGGACTTTTGGGTTGATCTGTCCTTAACTGTGGCTGAGGTCACCGAGGTAATTAAAACGTTCTGAGGCAGCAGGGCTCCAGGAGTGGATGAAATTCATCCTGATTTCCTTATGGCTCTGGATGTTGTGGGGATGTCTTAGTTAACACACCTTTGCAACGTTGCGTGGACATTGGGGGCAATGCCACTGGATTGGCAGACTGGGGTGGTGGTTCCCCTCTTCAAAAAAGGGGACGCCTCCCTGGTAAGGTCTATTCAGGGGTACCGGAGAAGTGAGTCTGATCATTGGTTGAACCTCAGATCCAGGAGGAACAATGTAGGTTCTGTCCTGGCCGTGGAACACTGGATCAGCTCTTTACCCTCACTAGGGTCCTCGAGGTGTCATGGGAGTTTGCCCATCCAGTCTACATGTGTTTTGTGGACTTGGAGAAGGCATTTGACCGTGTTTCTCGGGGCACACTGTGAGGGGTGCTCCGTGAGTATGGGATTGGGGGCTCGCCATTACGGGCTGTTCAGTCCCTATACAAGTGGTGCGAGAGTTTGGTTCGCATTGCCGGTAGTAAGTCGGACCCCTTCATGGTGGGAGTTGGACTCCGCCAAGGCTGCCTGTTGTCACCGATTCTGTTCATAACTTTTATGAACAGAATTTCTTGGTGCAGCCAGGGGCGGAGGGAATCTGGTTCGGTGGCTTCAGGATTCCATCTCTACTCTTTGCAGATAATGTGGTCCTGTTGGTGTCATTGTGCTGTGATCTTCAGCTCTCACTGAAGTGGTTCACAGCTGAGTGTGAAGCGGCTGGGATGAGAATCAGCACCTCAAAATTTGAGGCCATAGTTCTCAACCAGAAAAGGGTGGATTGCTTTCTTCAGGTTGAGGGTGAGGTTCTGCCACAAGTGGAGGAGTTCAAGTAACTCGGGGTTTTGTTCACGAGTGAGGGAAGAATGGAGCGTGAGATTGACTGATGGATTGGTGCAACATCTGCAGTCTTGCGGACTCTGTATCGGTCCATTTTGGTGAAGAGAGAGTTGACCTTTAAGGCAAAGTTCTCTGTTTACCAGTCGGTCTATGTTCCTACCCTCATCTATGGTCATGAGTTCTGGGTAGTGACCGAAAGAATGAGATCGTGGATACAGGCGGTTGAAATGACTTTTCTCCGCAGGGTATTTGGACTCTCCTTAGAGATAGAGTGAGGAGTTCAGTTATCTGGGAAAGACTCAGCGTAGAACCGCTGCTCCTTCACATGGAGAGGAACCAGTTGAGGTGGTTCAGGCATCTGCTAAGAATGCCCCCTGGATGCCTCCCTAGGGAGGTGCTTCAGGCATGTCCGACTGGGAGGCGACCCCAGGGAAGACACAGGACACACTGGAGAGTCTATGTCTCTCGGTTGGCCTGGGAACGCCTTGGAATCCTCCCAGAAGAGCTGGAAGAGGTGGCTGTGGAAAGAGATGACTGGACCTCCCTGCTCAAGCTGCTGCACCAGCGACCCGACTTCGGAATAAGCGGAAAATAATGGATGGATGGATGGATGGATGGATGGATGGAGTGTATTCTAATGTTGCCAATTTTCCCTAAAAAGAACAAGAGTGTAGTAAAAGTTCTGTGATGTTATGAGGTCATTTGACAACATTCTTAATAAATAAAAAAAATGTGAATTTTGAAATGTGTACATTTGAAAAACTATTTATGCATTTTTGACTTTTGTAGTACCATTTGTGACAAGCTGTATGAATGTGATGAAATGCCCCATCTGGATCAGGAGAGAGTGTTTCCCTCAGTTGGAGGAGTTCAAGTCTTTGGGCATATTGTTTATGAGTGATGGTAGAATGGAGTGGGAGATGGATCAACGGATTGGGGCCTCTTCCTCATTAATGAGGGCATTGCTTTGGTCTGTGGTGGTGAAGAAAGAGCTGAGTCGAAAGGCAAAGCAGACTTACCAGTCTGTCAACATTCCAACCCTCACCTATGGTCATGAGTCATGACCAAGCAAAAGAGCAAAAGAAGCAAGATTCTGGATCCAAGTGGACAAAATGAGTTTTCGTCACACAGTGGCTGGGCTTAGCCACTGCACTTCCTCATTGAAAGGAATCAGTTGAGGTGGTTCGGGCATCTCATTAGGATGCCTCCTGGTAAACCTCCCTTTAAAGGTTGTCCTGGCACGTTCCATTTGTAGGAGGCTTCAGGGAAGATTTCTGTCGTCTCTGGAGAGATTGTGTATCTCCTCTGGCCTGGGAAAGCCTCCAAGTCCCTCAGAATGAATGAAAAAGTGTCACTGGGAAAAGGGATGTCTGGCTTTCTCCTGGAGCTGTTGCCTCCACAACCCGTTTACAGAAAAGCAGTAGAAGATTTTTTTTTTTCATTTACCCTTTATTTATACAGATAGTTTCAATGAGCCACGAGAAATCATTTTCAAGAGAGATCTGTTTAGGGAGCAGATGGTGGGGGTTAAGGGCCTTGCTCTGGGGCTCAGGGTGGGGTGAATGAGGGTGGAAGGAGGTGTGGGTGTTCCACCTATTCCACCCACATTTTAATGTTGATGGTACCGGGAGTTGGACCTGAGACTTTCCGATCACAAGCCCATCTTCTAACCTCTGCGCCACCACTCCCCCATGGATGGATGGATGAATGGATGAATTTGTGAACCTTGTTGCACCCATACAAATACTGTTGTATGCTTGTGTGACTACTTTTGAGACAAATGTGCTTGAGGTATATTTGCCTGTCTACAATTCCAGTGAGTTTGCAATTTATAGTAAAAATAATTAAAAAAAAGATTTTACTTCATGACATTAAAGTGCTTTATCTTACGAGTA